TTGAAGATCAAGGGCGCGTGCGTGGCATCCATTCCTGAAACGTGGATCCGAACAAGATCCTGAGAGAAGTAACGCTAACCTTGGCCTCCAGCACGCTGTCACTTGTCCCTTTTGTGATTGTGACAGGCACTCCCCCAGTACACTTTCCACTCCCATGATCACTTCATCCCCCCTCTCTCTGCTGCCAAAGACAGTGGAGTTCCCAGAGTTTTGACACCTTGTAAAGACATTCCAGTGGATTCTAGCACACCCAAACAGATGGTGTGAAAGGAATACAGGGGAAGAAAATACAGGCCTCTGCCAGATTCTCATGTATTCTAGGTAACATCATGTTCCAGGGGAAGAAAAAAAAAAATAAAAAGGAACTGATATCATTGTTACCGCCTGCTTCCTAAGCCAAGCCACCACGCTTCTGCCAAAGATAACAACGTCTTTAAGATGGTTACAAAACTCCCGACATCATATGAGGCAAAAGAACTGGGCCTACCAGGCGGTATAAAACAATAATCTGTATTATTGTTATACTGTGTTACACTGACACATGAAACAGAATTTTTTTTTTCCCTTTGAGCAAGGAATAACATCCAGCTCAAAATAACATCTCTGCTTCTTTTCCTTGTCCAGGGTGTGCAAATCTCTACTGAGTTTCTTCTCTGAAAGCTAATGACATGACAACAAAGTCTATATAAGATAGACATTAAAGAACAATTAAATACTTTTCCTCTCAGGTGTTTAAATAAATACATTCACAGACACAAATACACAAATAAGCACAAGAAAAGATGCTTAACATCATTAGCCATTAGGTAAATGCAAATTAAATCCACAGCGAGATATTATTATACACCTATCAGACTGTCTAAAATAAAAGAGTGACAACACCAAATCCTGGCAAGAATATGAAGAAACTGGATCGCTCAGACATTGCTAGTGGGAATGTAAAATGGAAACAGTTTAGAACTTTGGAAAACGGTTTGGCAGTCTCTCTAAAAACTAGACTAGCAACTACTATACAACCCAGCAACTAGTCTCTTAGGCATTTCTCCCAGAGAAATGAAAACTTATGTTCACACGAAAAACCTGTACATGGATGTTTATAGCAGTTTTATTAATAATAACCCAAACCTAGAAACAACCAGATGTCCGAACTGTGCAAACTGTGGTTGGTTAACCAAATAGTGGTATTCCCACGCTGTGAGAGAGAGGTGGGCCTGGCTATCAAAGGGCATCAGGAGGGAGCCTTGTGTGGGGGAAATGCTGTGAGTCTTGACTCGGTCAGCGTCAGCATCTGGGTCACCCGTTTCCACTGTTACCAGACGGTGCCAGTGGGGGGAACATGCCAGGGGTGTGTGCAGTCTCCCTGTGCTATTTCTTACAACTGCACAGAGATCTATGAGGCTCTCCAAATAAAAAGTTCACTGAGAAACTATCACTCCTCCTTACAGACATAGAAAACAAGCTCATGAGTATCAAAGGAGAAGGAGGGGAGAGGGACAAATTCGCAATTTGGGATTAACAGATACACACAACTGTAGATAAAATAGATCAGCAAGAATCTACTGCATAGCACAGAGAGCCACATTCAATCTCTTGCAATAACCTGTAACAGAAAAGAATTTTAAGAATACATACAGCATATACACATTACTATATAGAAAATAGATAACTGGTAAGAACCTGAGTACTCTGTAATGACCTGTGTGGAAACAAAATCTAAAAACGAGCAGATATATGGATATCTATGACCGACTCGCTTTGCTATAGAGCAGAAACTAACACAGCATTGTAAATCAACTACATTCCAATGAAAAATTAAATAAGTAAGTCTATGCATATATATGCACATTAAATAAGTAAGTACATATATATATTTACTTATATATACAAGGGTTTGATCTCTGGTTAAGGAACTAAGATACCATACGCCACACAGCATGGCCAAAAACAAAACAAAACTCCTGTTACAAAAAAAATTTAATCTATGTAAAGACACAAAGGAAAATATGGACCTTTTAAACTGATTAATTTGAAGATTATAGTGATCAAATAAGATTTCTTTTAAATCTCCATATTATAATAGATTAAGAAACTCTGTGTGTCTGTGTGTGTGTGTGTGTGTGTGTGTGTGTGTGTGTAGAAAACAACAAACTACTTAGTTTTAATGACGAAAGGGGCTACTACCCTGTCCATGTCATCATCAACCGACTAAAAAGCTCTAGATCAGAGAAAGGAAACTATGAGTATTCTACCAAGGATCTAATGGATGGATGATACAAACATTAAGGCAGCAATATGCTCCCTGGGTGTGCAGAGATAAAATTATTAAAGCACCATTCTCTGGTTATAAATTTGGCTTGTCTAGAGGCCATGTATACTCTCTCATCCTTGTCCCTGGGGCCCAATGACACGAATTATTAAATGACTAGCCAAAGATACCCATCAGCAGACAAATGGATAATGAAGCTGTGGTACATATACACTATGGAATATTACTCAGCCAGTAAAAAGAATTCATTTGCATCAGTTCTAATGAAATGGATGAAACTGGAGCCCATTATACAGAGTGAAGTAAGCCAGAAAGATAAAGACCAATACAGTATACTAACGCATATATATGGAATTTTAAAAGATGCTAACAATAACCCTATATACAAAACGAAAAAGAGACACAGATGTACAGAACAGACTTTTAGACTCTGTGGGAGAAGGCGAGGGTGGGATGTTCAGAGAGAACAGCACTGAAACAAGTACATTATCAAGGGTGAAACAGATCACCCGCCCAGGTTGGATGCATGAGACAAGTGCTCAGGGCTGGTGCACTGGGAAGACCCAGAGGGATGGGATGGAGAGGAAGGTGGGAGGGGGGATCAGGATGGGGAATACATGTAAATCCATGGCTGATTCATGTCAATGTATGGCAAAAACCACTACAATATTGTAAAGTAATTAGCCTCCAACTAATAAAAACAAATGGAAAAAAAAAATAAATGACTAGCCAACATTAAGGTACAGAATCTCACTTAGAACTGGCTTGTAACCCACACAAACAGAAAACTCATGAGCCTGGCTTCCTTGCTTTTCCTGCTTGTCAGTCCACACCCATATTTCTTTATTAGACACCAAAAGGTCACATCACGGAAGGAAGAAAATCCACAGTCCCGCAGGCTCCTTTGGTTCTTGCGATGCTCACCCACATTCTCGTGGGTGTCTCATTAGCTCGCGTCTCATTAGCCATTTGCTTTTTCTCCAACTCTGGCTCTTCCTGGTCTATTATGTCTCTTTCTTCTGATGTGTTCTTTTCCTCCGCGTCTCCCTCAGCCCAAAGCCTGCCCTCCCCGAGTCCCCTTCTTCTTCCTCTCTCCCCAGACTGGCCTTGCCTCTGCTCCAGCTCATTCCACCCAATCAGCTCATGGCTCCTCTTCCTTGCACTTGAATCTCCCCACTTCACAGCTATACAGTCCAAAAGCCAGCGAAAAAGAAAACTATTTGGTTCTTAAATAAATCTTTTTGACTCTACAAAATCCCTTAAGTAAAACTGTTTTGGGCTTTTGTTCATTTGCTTGCGGTTGTTGTTTAATTACACGTGACATCCCCCCAGCTCTCCAGAACACCCTTCTGCAATGGGACTTTGACCCAGAGGGCGGATGAGGACACATATCTTTCCAACTGCCTACCCTACATCTGGTGGCTCAGACAGTAAACAATCCACCTCAATGCAGGAGACTCAGGTCCAATCCTTGGGTCAGGAAGATCCCCTGGAGAAGGGAATGACAACCCACTCCAGTATTCTTGTCTGGAGAACTCCATGGACAGAGGAGCTTGGCAGGCTACAGTCCATTGGGTTGCAAAAAGTTGGGCGTGACCGAGTAGCTAACACTGACACTACACTGTTTCACCCTACATCTGTCTCCCTTCTCTTTTCAATAAACCACTCCTTCCTCTCTGTCTTACCCAAAACTCCCTTGTGTAAAACTATGGCTTTATGTTTCTTACACAAGTATGATACCACACACACACACACACACACACACACATATATATGTAATACATAAAACACACACACACCAGCAACTTTATTTTCAAGTAAAATCAATAAATGATGATCATTCTGTGCTACAATTGGTCTAAACTCTGCCCCAACACATATTGTTCTGTGTTCTTTGCTCTTAAAAACTTGATGGGGTGGGTCAGGGGTGGAGGAGGTTACCATACCCACGAGGAAAAGCTACTCATGGGTGATTCTATTGCTGCCTATAGACATCAGCATGAGGCCTTTAGCCTAATCACTGGTGAACAGAACCAGGCCAAATGAAAACAAAAACAAAAAAGAACAATCTCTGGCTGTTAGCACACCCACGTAGGCATGCAATGCCCACTGAGTTATTGCTTCCATTGTTTTGCTTTGTTTTGTTTTTCACTCCGCCATTTTATTGCCACTGTGGTGACGTACTCCAAACAGGATCATTTAGAAAACAAAATAACCAATACATTATTGGAAATTTTTAAATGTGCAAACTAGGCTACCCCCTTACAATGAAGCCGTTTGTGCTTTTCACTGTGGATCACTTATCGTGGGGGGCGAGGTGGGGGGAGAACGTGCACCATGTACTTGAAGTAAGTGAAAGGCAATGAATTAATGATTTACATAATTACCATAAAGTTGAAAAATCACATGGACTCGATCTTTCCAGTCCTGGAATCTCTTCAGAAAGGTCAGGCAGTCCTCAAGTGAACACTCAGACACAGATGGTTCTCATTGGTCAACTGGTGATATATGTGTTTTCTGTGTGATTCTGAGAACTCAACGTGGAAGCAATAAATCATATTAAACAAGAAGCAGTGATGAAATACCTCAAAATTAAGAAATAACTTCAGGACTTTGAGTTGCATGTGGGAAAGCTAAGATATTTATTTTGCCTATAAATGCCTGAAGAATAATGTTTCAGTAATTTGTTGTTCTGTAACAAGCCTAATGGCTTAAAACAGCAATTGGTCATTTCTCAGAAGTCTGTAGGCAGGCTGAGCTCAGCTGGGCAGCTCTTCTGCTCCTGGACAGGTAGTGTTAGAGGACCCGTGTGGGGCCATCCGGCTGTAAGTGCAGCTGGAGCTAGATCAGCCAAGATGGCGTCTCGTCTCCCAGAACCTCTGTCCTGTGACTTCTCCTCATCGACCAGCTGAGTCCAGGCTTCTTTCATGAGCAGCGAGTGCATGGTGAGGGGCTGGAACCAAGGTAGAAGCTGACAGACTTCTTAAAAGCGAGGCCCATATCTGATCCAGTGTCACTCTCGCCGCAGCCTGTTTGTCAAACCAAGTCAAAGTCAGACAGGATCAGAAGGGAGAGGAAATAGAATTCACCTATTGGTGGAGGAGCAGCACGCATGTTCATACGTAGGCGCTTTCAGCCGCCATCTTTGGAGACAATTCGACCACAGAAGAGCAGAAGGTATTAAATACAGACTCCTCTTCCTGCAATAAGGATGCCTCATTTAAAACAAGGATCTTGTTCGCATTTCAAAGTCAATAAAAATAATAATGCTTGCATCCTTGCAAAAGAATATTATCTATTTTTCCTAAGACTGCCAAAAAGAACCACTTACTGACCGGCCAATGGGTCTCCAAATTCCCAGCATCAGAGTCATGCCCTTGAGTTAAATCATCTTCAGAATTCCTGCCTAAAAATGCAAGTACAACTGGTAGGGTCAACCATGAATGCCTTTGGGTAAATCTAAGCTTAGCAACCACATTCGTGGGAGATCTCTGAGGTGGAATTCTTGCTCCACAACCAGTGGCTGGACTTCGGGCATCTGGAAGACTTTGAAATCACTTTCAAACTGTTGTGGTTGTTATGTGCATTTTTCACCAGTTTCTCAAATGGGTCAGATACCAAAAAGGTTAACACTCACTATTCTAAATGCATGATCACAAAAAGTCTCACTGGGGAAAAGGTAAAGCTAAGAGAGTTATCTTTGGTGAGTAATTCACAGTTCACCTCTTAATTGTCCTCTATTTAATATTCTTTACATTGTGTGTGTGTGTAACAGACCACATCTCTACACGTGTAAGGAAACATCTTCACTTTGCATCTGTATCCTCCGCTGGGAAGAATCTTATAACATCTTCAATGTGCATCTGATCCAGTTATCAAATCATGTTCCTTGGAACCCTCCTGGGGCTAAACGAGGCCAAGTAAGGGCATCCTTGCCAGGAAAGCCCAAGGGATGAGTGGAGCTCAGACTTGCCCCATTCACACTGAGCAATTCTATCTTTGATCCTCTTTTATTGCTGCTTCTGCTGCTAAGTCGCCTGCATCGTCTCTGACTTTTTGTTACCCTATGGACTGTAGCCTGCCAGGCTCCTCTGTCCATGGGATTCTCCAAGCAAGAATACTGGAGTGGGTTGCCATGCCCTCCTCCAGGGAATCTTCCCCACCCAAGGATGGAACCTGTCTCTCTTATGCCTCCTACATTGGCAGGCAGGTTCTTTACCACTAGCACCACCTGGGAAGCCCTCACTCTTATTAAATGTATGTAAATGTTTTTCTTTGAATAATGAGTCCTGAGGCTAAAAGAAGTCTGAGAATTAATAACAAGCCAATGCCCCCATTTCCAAGTGATTTTTAAAAATTGTATTCAGTGGGTTTAAATATCTTTCTCAAAGTCTGGAGTCAGCTGAACTAGAGATTTGTGTTTCCCAACTCTTGATACTGTTTAATTTTTCTAGTCTACACCCTACCTCCCCACCAAGAACCAGCCTTACCACCTTCTCAGAGGACAGTTTTCCTCATACCCCAATACATGTTTTCCTCTCTGGCAAAAAAAAAGTGTCTACAATCAGGAAAACCCAGTTGATGTCAGAACCTCATCAGAATTTCAGGGGAAGAAAGCAGCCTGGACTGAACACCAGGCTGGGATATGGAAGGGAAGAAGGGTCCTGAAGAACCTAAGAAGGACTTCCCTTCCAGTGGCTAAGACTCCATGATCCCAATACAGGGAGCCTGGGTTCCATCCCTGGTCAGGGGACTAGATCTTGCAAGTCAGAACTAGAAGTTTCCATGCAGCATGCATAAATGCATAAACACTTAAAAGAGAAAGAAAGAAACAAAAGAAGAGATTATTTCCAAGTTGGCTTCATTATTAGATTGTTAAATGGCTCTGACTCATCCCCACAGCTCTCTTTTTCCACCAAAGAATAAATCTGAAGTAGCAGTCAACTGCATTCTTTTTTTCTTATGTAATGCAAAAAAATCACACTGTCCCTGATCACTTAATTCCCAACAGCTACAAAGTGCATTTCAAAGTCATCCACCATATTCTAAGCCTTCCAAAATGCCTAAAGGAAAGAAATGCTAGACAAACCCCAATAAAGATATGTGTATAGATTTCTATACTTGGAATGTTAATGGGCCTTGACTAAGACCACTGTGATTTTAATACATTGTATTGTTTTATTCCTACTGTATTTTTAAATAGAACATCTCAAAACAATTAGATTAATTAAATATCCACGGGGATTCAGGAAATGTTTTCCTATCACACTTGGGGACTTGACCAGCTCAGCTCCTTAGATTTTTTTTCAGAACCTCTTAATGAAGGATTCTCACTTCATCAGAGCCTTGACAACTATTTCAATCTGTCATTAAGCAGAACATTTCAGTACCTGGAAATTTTTAAGACTTGTTGAGACTTCAATTCGCCAAATGTGGCTGTTTAGGGGGAGCCATCCTTCTCCATGAGTGGAGAAGGCTTTCAGGCTCCCTGGCTTATTGTCTGAGAATGCGAAGTGGATCGTGGTCTTGGGGAGTAAAATACAGGTTAGAAAGGTTAGAAAAAGTCACCGCGCAATTTGTATTGTCTATGTTTCGTCAAGACACCGAAAGTTGGAAATTTCACCCCATGCTAATAACACAGTATTAGTTACACTTGACTGCTTTGTTGGAGCCAAACCAAAGTCACTTCTATTCTCTCAAGCCTAAATTTTGAGAGCGGCCAGCTTTTTAGGAAAACAAAAGCTGCCGTAATCTCGAGGAGAGGCTGGTGTCAAACCACGGGAGTTCTATCAAAGACCATATATTATCATGAGCTCCAAACATTAAAGAACTCTGTAGCATGACAAGCTCTAAGAAAGAAACTCTTAAAAGAGATTCATTTTTCTCCACGATGTCAACTGCAAGAACAAGCCAGCGGTGAACAAGAGGTTAGGAGTTGAAAATGAAATGATGATGGGTTCCTTGGCTTCATGGCCAACTCATTTTATGACCTTGGGATAGGCATTTCAGTCATCTAAAGGTCTCTACACTGAGATTGCCTGTTTATTCTCTTTCAAGTGTGGAGTTTGCATAGCTGCATGGAAGATTCTTCTCCTTTTGTAGAATGACAGGGCTGTCAGCGTCAGGAAAGGCTACCTGTACTCTGCTGAAGCAGCAGAGCATGGTGGTTAAGAGCATACACTCCGCCCAGGATGAGAGAGCATACACTCCTCCACACCCTGGCTCTCTCCTTTATATTAAATAACTCTGTGACCTCAGACAAACTATTCTAGCTTCTGTGTCTCCGTGTCTCCAATAGGAAAACGATAACAGCAGCAGTGCTACTGGCTAGGGTAGAAGGATTAAATGCATTAATGATTGGAACCACTTAGAATAGTGTCTAGCATATACTGCTGCTGCTGCTGCTAAGTCGTTTCAGTTGTGTCCAACTCTGCAACCCCATAGATGGCAGCCCACCCGGCTCCCCCATCCCTGGGATTCTCCAGGTAAGAACACTGGAGTGGGTTGCCATCTCCTTCTCCAATGCATGAGAGTGAAAAGTGAAAGTGAACTCTCTCCATCGTGTCCGACTCTTCACGACCCCAAGGACTGTAGCCTACCAGGCTCCTCCGTCCATGGGATTTCCCAGGCAAGAGTACTGGAGTGGGTTGCCATTGCCTTCTCCCTAGCATATACTAAGTGCTATAAACTAGGTTTACCATTAGGACCTTACAACTTAAGTCAAATTCATCTGTGTATAAAAACAGATAACTAATGAGAACCTACTGTAAAGCACAGGGAACTTTCTATTCAGTGCTCTACGATGTCCTAAATTGGGAGGAAATCCAGAAAAGAGGAGACACATATATACATATTGCTGATTCACTTTGCCATACAGCAGAAACTAACATAACATTGTAAAAGAACTTATATTCCAATTAAAAAAAAATTTAAGTAAACATTCTAAAAAACTCATCAAAATATTTCTCTTTTGTTTTTAAGAAGCCTCCTTCCTCACTGACGGAATTAGATTGTTTAAATGAATAGAAACTTATTTCCCCATAGTAACTGCTGGAAATTACAATGCATGATAGAATAGTGTTCATTCAAGACTTCAGATCAGACATGAATAACAGAGAAGAAAGACCAACCCTTCAATTTCTTCACTGTTTAGCTACCTGGAGACTGAACCTGAGTGATCCCACTGTATTGAAAAAGTTGAATCCAAGAATGATGAAAGAGTTCACAGTATTGAAAAGGTAAATAATATTAGTCATCTAACCCAACACCTTAGTTTTATAGATGAGAAATTGAGGCACAGAGAGGTAAATATCTGGTTGCTTTCAGTTCAGCGCTCAGTCATGTCCAACTCTTTGCAACACCATGGACTGCCTCACGCCAGTCTTTCTTGTCCATCACCAACTCCAGAGCCTACTCAAACTCATGTCCATCGCATTGGTGATGCCATCCAACCATCTTAACCTCTGTCATCCCCTTCTCCTCCCACCTTCAAACTTTTCCAGCATCAGGATCTTTTCAAATGAGTCAGTTCTTCATATCAGGGGGCCAAAGTATTGCAGTTTCACTTCAGCATCAGTCCTTCCAATGAATATTCAGGAATGATTTCCTTTAGGATGAACTGGTTGGATCTCCTTGCAATCCAAGGGACTCTCAAGAGTCTTCTCCAACACCACAGTTCAAAAGCATCATTTCTTCAGCACTCAGCTTTATAGTCCAACTCTCACATCCATACATGACTACTGGAAAAACCATAGCTTTGACTAGACAGACCTTTGTTGGTAAAATAATGTCTCTGCTTTTTAATATGCTGTCTAGGTTGGTCATAACTTCCCTTCCAAGGAGGAAGCATCTTTTAATTTCATGGCTGCAGTCACTATCTGCAGTGATTTGGGAGCCCAGAAAAATAAAGTCTGACACTGTTTCCCCGTCTATTTGCCATGAAGTGATGGGACC